ATTTTTGATCAAATGCTAACCCAACTGTTTTTAATATTCTTTTTTGTTTCTGCATTTTTTATTTTTTTATTTTATTTTATTCATTTTTTATTTTTTCTTACTTGCTTTGATTCTGTTTTATCTTCCTGTATTTTAATCATGTAAAGCACTTTGCATTGTCTTTGTACTGAATTGTGCTATACAAATAAATTTGCCTTGCCTTGCCTTGCCATCATTTGGCATGTAGTCACTAGTCAGACAGACTGTTAGAGCCACGTATTTCACATATTTTATTCTATTCCATCTTATTCTTTCTTTAATTCAGTTCTTTAAATTCTGTTCCTATTTTTTTACATCTTAAAATGTCTAAGCTAAACATTGAGTGGAAAAAACTTTTTTTTCCATTCAAACATTTAAATAGCCTGCTGAATTATCAAAATACACTGCTTTTTTCTTTACATTCTGAATATTGTAAGAAAAGAAAAAAAAAATGTTAAAGAAAGAGACAACTTGGGTTTTTAAGAAAATACTCAAATTGCTCAAATTTACATATGAAAAGTATCTTAATTGTTTCATGCTGCATACCTGCCCGTTGTGCTTGTGTGAGCTTTGAGTAGACGACATCAGCTGACTCGATCAGGGTTTTGCTGGTTTGGATCATCTACAAGACAAAAAAAGTACAAACAGTTATTTTAAAATACATCTTAATGTCACTAAAACAAAACCCTTCAGCAGAGCTACAGTCAAGCTGAATAAAATAGACATATAAGGATAATAACCAGGGAGAAGTAACACGTGGGAAGGTCTTGATGTTAAAATGCTAGAGGGTCTAGTTCTTTTCATAAACATCATTTCCAATTAGTTATTCTCATTAGGCAGAGCTCATGCAAGATCGGCACAGACATCTTAGTGTTTAAACTGACAGTTTAAAGCAGAGAAGACTGCTCCCATTTCAATGTTTTTATCACTGGGAAATTTTTTTTAATAGATTTTTCATAATAATTAAGAATAGCAGATTATTCTGAGCTGACTCCACCATATTTTTTATGAGGAGCCAAATAGAAATGACGGCCTTGTGCATAAGCATTGTGGTGTCTTAAAGCGGAGGTCTTCAACAGGGGGTCCGCAGACCCTAGGGGGGGCGACGGAGGTACTGCATGGGGGTTGCAAAAGTTTAGGTTGATTAGACTTTTTTTTTTTTATATATATTCACCCCTGCATTTTTTTTCCACTAATTGAAATGTCTTTAAATCCACATTAACACGAATTCAACACACTGCAGTAAACAGATAAATGGAGGCAGAAGATGTCTTTCAGTCATCAATGCAAACATTAAGCAACACACAGGAGCTCTTTCAAGCTGGGCACCGTTTCATTCACAACACCTGTCCCATCAACCAGGAATCAGAATCAGAAATACTTTAATAATCCCAGGGAGGGATTACTTTCCTTACATTACTCCATCTGCAATAGAGTGACTGTAGGACCAGTTTGATATAACACAATTTCATACAAAATATATAATTAGTGGGTCCCAGCTCCATCTCGCCATCAGTTTGCGGGTCCTTGGCCTTGAAAACGTTGAAGAACCCTGTCTTAAAGCCTTTAAAAGGGTCTTCTTCCACCGGATGTTCATTACCTGGTTTCTCATCTTCTGTTCCGTAAATCAGTGTATGATATGTCTATTTCATATAGCTGTACAGGTTGTTTTAGATTATTTACTGATTTCACAGTTCCATCTGACCAGGCTATGGAAACGAAAACTGAAATCAGTTTCCCCATAAATATGTTCTAGGTTGGTTGTGCGTCGTTTTTCCTTTGAGTGAAATCAGAATTTGAAAGCAGGTGTTCTGTATTTCCTCAAGCTTTCTTTGTCTCACTTTAAAATGTGTTTTATAATCATAAAAATATGTGTTGCAATTTAAAGTAACCAATTAATCTAAGAGTCATGCTTTTGAACCGTGGGAAGAAGGCTTTCTACGCTGAGGAAAGCCTCAGATGTTCAGGGAGAACATGCAAACAATGCAGAAAGACCAGGATTCAAACAGGTTGTCTTGCTGGAAAACAGCAGCATTAACAATTGCACCCTTTGTGTGGCTTGTTAAACAGTTAATGAGGTTTATTTATTTGTATTTTTTCTTTTTCAAGTATGTCGGGGGACATGCCAGAACGTGCAAACTTTTTTACAGGTGCATGGATTCGAGACGTTCCATGTCCTCCATCCTACTACTGGTCAGCTGGTTGATGCTCCTACATCCTCTCTATATTATAGCAACAGAAAGACAAGGTTGGCTGATTGATACCATTTCCTTCAGCAAAGAAAATGCAAAGAATCTTATAATGGAAACTAAAGGAGCCCGACTTGTATCCAATTAAGGTAAACCTGCTTTTAATTTGTTACTGGTAAGCGCATCTGTCCCTCCTAAATCTATATACCGGTAATACAGGGAGCAATGGGAAAGTTTGATTAAAAAAGTTAATATGCTTAGCTGGTAAGGTATATATTCATAATTTCTGCAAAAGTCTTTATCAGAATAATGCAAATATATTACTGTACGTAAAATATTTTTGGCACATAAGTATGTAACCATGTGGAACATATTGTTTCTGTTCAAAGCAGTTATTTCATATTATATACAAATGTTGTCACACTGAAGTAATATGGAATACATTTGAAAATACAAAACTTAAAAATTAATCGTTACTTATTATTTATTGGTATTTTTAGAATAGCAACCCATGTTAACACCCTGTGCAATAACCCTGTATAATAACCCTGCTATAAAAACAAAGGCATATGTGGACGCACTTTTTATACTGTATACATGTATATCCCATGCACCTTTGTCTTCCTTTGGCACCTTCCTCTTCTCCTATGATTATTTGAGCTGATGTAATGAGTATATTTCTCCACTGCAAGATCAATAAAGTCAATCAATCAATCAACAACACACCCAGGCGATTCTCTCATAATTTGGACCACAAGTACTTATACATTTACAGAAGTTAACATGCCAAAAAATAATATCACTTCAAAATTTCTATCATGCCAAAAATATGTTTAAAGGGGTACTCTGAAATCATCCAACATGGCTGATGAGGAGAAGCTGGAGGAGAGCTCCAGCAGAAAGGAGAGGGATAATTAAGTTTCAGTCTCCCATGAGAGAATGAAAGTAGACTGCCTCACTGTTTGGATGAGTATGCATGTACATGTCTTTTTTCCAGGCAATCTTCTCGTGGGAGATGTTTTGAATGCAAAGTTAAAATAGGCAGCTCTCTTGCTGAGGCAGTGACTGGAGACGAAACAGTTTAAATGCAAAACATAATGAACATTTGTCTAACCTCTGACTAACTCATGCATGAGCATAATAAAACGCATGCATATAAAACTGTAGCTCAGGAAGCCCAACGGTGTTCTGCATTTGATAGAAACACGCAATTTATTTTTGAAAGAGAATGTTGATTAGGGAGACATGTTATCACGGTTAAGTGATGTTTTACAATTCAATTCAGTTTTACAGAGAGAATTGAATCGAACCAAAAAGTTTGATCACGGTTAAAGCATTAATTGTTTTCTCGCGATAACAAGATAATTTTCTCGTTATCACAAAAAAACTGTTATTTATTTTTTGAGATAATGAGATGATTAACCTGTACGAGTAATGAATGAAGCTGGCAAAAACAGCCCTGGATTCCCAATCCATCCATGCCTGGGGAGCCTGTACTGTAGGTGTGCAGTCGCAGTACCGCGTGAGCGTTAATAATCAGTTTCCATTTTCTTTTCACTCATTGTCAGGTGGTGGTGGGTGATTGGAAGCATAGAATACAGTAGAAACAAACCTGACTGTTTTTTTTTTATTATAAGTCTTTAATTTGTACTCATTTCGGGGTTTAATGCATCTTATACCTATTATAGGTGTAACATCGAGGCTGTTCAGAAAACATCCGGCGCTAAGGTGCAAGAGGCATAGGCCTAATTGCTTATGAATCAGAGGTGGAAGCAAATCATCAAACCAACAACGTCTTCTCGTTACCTAAATGTTAAACACAGGATTTTTTTTTTTACAGAATTACACATATGCTGCCATGACTTATCCTTAGAAATCCTCTCCTGCCTTTGTGAATGATGAAGGATGTTATCAGTTTTAACACACACCAATCATCTCGTTATGATGACAAAACAGCTTTCTTTTGCCGTGACTCATACTTATAAATCCTCTCCCGTTGTTGTGGTAGTGAAGGAGGTAATCAGTTTTAAAACAGACAAATCATCTCGTTATGACGAGAAAACGGCTTTCGTTTGTCTTTAGATAATAAGAAAATTAACTGGTATTTTGTATCGGAGGGATACAACCTCTCGTAGCAGCGAATCGTGATGTTGTAGTCATGCATCTGGAATGAGAGGTGGGATTTTAATTTCCTACATGACCCGCCCCCAAAAACCACTGCTGGCATGTCATTGGTCCGAGTTGCTAGTTGTTATGAGACAGAAGTATTAATGGGAGTCTTTCCAGATGGATTTGTTGTGAGACTGAAAACTCAGATCTTTGCAACACTACAGCTTTCAGCGCAAGGTTACTTAACCAGGACCATTGTACGCTACAGTTACAGCTACAGCTATATGCTTTTTCTTAGAAGCCCTTTTTCAACTACAAATGAAAACATGTTACCTTTACTTCTATTTCACATTCGTTGAAATAAAGTGATTTGTGTTGATCTCTAGCATAAACTCCTACAAAAAAAAAAAAAAAAAAAAAAAAAAAAANAAAACTTCCAACTGTTTTTAATATTCTTTTTTTGTTTCTGCATTTTTTATTTAATTTTATTTAATTTTTATTTATTTTTTTTCCTACTTGCTTTGATTCTGTTTTATCTTCCTGTATTTTAATCATGTAAAGCACTTTGCATTGTCTTTGTACTGAATTGTGCTATACAAATAAAATTGCCTTGCCTTGCCTTATTAAAATACATCATTGTTGTGGTTATTTTCTGATTGAATATTATAAAAGAATGTGTCTCCTTTACCTTTGAAAAATACTGCATGGATATATTAAGAGTGGAAAGCAATCTGAGATACAAAACAACCAAGAAGATGTTGCTGAATGCTGAAATAGACGCTCATAAAATTTACACGATACAATATTTGCTATTATGGATTCCATAAAGCTCATGCAACGCTTTTTTTTTGTATTTCCTCTTTATCAATTTGTTTGCATGGCTGATTCTTTCAAAGGGATCATTCATAATTTTCAACATTTTAACTATGGTGCAAAGAAAACCCGCAAGCTAAAGAGTGTATAAAAAATGTGGATTTTCACTAATCCAAATTCACTGTAACAGGGACTTTGAACCCATAACCATATGTGAATATTGTGAAGTTAAAGTTAGTGTTGCTGAATACTTACATACTTAAAACATGCATTGTGGGGAAAAAAAATCATAAAATAAAACAACTGAACATTACTTTTAATACATAAGAACAGCAAAATGTGTGATATGAGCTGAAAGGTCATAATTTAATAAGCGTACACAGCCTTTCAAAACACAAATGTGTTCATAAGTGAAGCATAAAGGCTGCAACCCAAAAACTGATTTACTTACTGAGCTCCCCCCCCCCAAAATAAATAAATAAATAAATAAACATAAATAGCAAAGGTGTAAAAACAGCAGGTGATAAGTAAGTTTAGTCTCTTTTAAAACCTTTCTGCATTTCTCTATGTGAGCTGAAGAAAAGTACAGCGGTTTAAGAGGTGGCAGAGTGAAAAGCTCTTTCACCCAATAAGCAGCTTCATCTTGACAGCTTGACAGGTCAATTACTGTAGGTGGTTTGGGTCATATTGGGTAAAACTCATCCAGTTATGGACATTTTTCTTGGTCATACATAAGAAGCAATTTATTAAGCTACACTTTGACCTCATGAAAATAGATATTTATTAGATGATTAAGAATAATCAATAAATAAATAAACCAATTTTACAATAGCTTCCCAAATTAAGAGACAGTCAGTGGTTTAAATTTGTTTGTTCTTGCTAATTGTGCCTTTATAAGGTATTAAGTACTTAAAATCTAACTTAATGACATCAGAAGTTATTTTTTCTCAGAGTCCACTGGACTTTTTTTGCTTCCCATCCAAGAACCTTATCAATTCAAAATGTCAGGAATGGCATTGAGTAAGAGTTTTTTTTGTTGGGCTACTGTATAAAACCTCGAGCTTAACGCTAATCCTGACATTTGGAACTGAAAAAGCTTCTTAGATGGGAAGCAAAACGTCTTCAAACTTGGAAACAAACATGCAAACATTTAAAAAATAGAGGATGAATACAATCATTTTAAAAGAGCAATCAGTTTCTGCACAGTCATTTTAAGTGTAGGACAATAAACGTCATTCACGTAAATGAGTGATGCACACAGAGCAGTCCTTTGTGTGAGCATATGGTGCACTATGCAGTGTGAATCACACTGTGCGTGTTTACATTGAAATAGAAGCAGAACTGCGTCTGTCTCGTGTGTGGAGCGTCTGTGAACTCCTACGTGCGCCTCATACCCAAGCACAGGAGTTTAGCAGAGGGAGATGGCTCAGGTGTGAAAGAGCAGCTTTGACTGCTGCATGACAAAAAGGCATTGAGAGTAGACTTGGTGCAGAATTAGCTTCTAGTTAGGTATTTGCTTTTATTTTAAAAGTTTTATTGAATTAAATCGTCTCAAATTCTATTCTTTCAATTAAAAAAAGTTCAACATTTTGAAGGTACGAAACGAACAATAATTTGAAACTAAACCTCAATGCTTCTCGTTATAAATATGCCTAGTTTACAATTCATGTTCAATTATTGTCTTACTGTATAAGTTAATTATTTTCATTTTAATTTATAGATTATTATGTCCTGTCCCTTTGTGAGAGCAAATGTATTTATTTGATTGTGATGCATTTATTTTTATCTTAAACTGTATTTCTTTGCGTCTTATTTTAGCCGTGTCTGTGTTAATTAGGTAATCTACATCAGCTTCTCTGTTTTCATTTTGCCACAGCTGTTTGAAATCTTCTTAATGCTCTGCTGGCTACTTTTTTATGTTTCTCTCCTGCCTCTGTATTGAAGCATGCCGGTAATCATAGCCCATTGATGTATTTTATTTTTTTTCCCAATATCTGTTTTTCTGTCCCTGATCCCTGACCTGTTCTCCCTCAGCGACATTCATTTACAGATTTTTATGTTTTATAATAAGGAACTCTGCTTTAAGAGCTGATATTCTGCACTTGAGTCCTTATTACACTGAAAACATGACAGCACCAGTACAACAAAATAAAATCATGTTTTAAGGCCAGCCCCTAAACAACATGAACTACTTCCTTTTTTCACAATGTAAAGTTTTTCCTTTTTCCTGCTTTAGTACAGTTATGTTTAAGGCTGGGTAATTTTGCCAAAGTCCTGAATGGATTCGATTTTGATTCAGTTCTAAATCGTTTAATTTTGATTCGATCTGATTTTACAATAATGAAAGTTGTTCAACTCTGTCTCAAAATGCTTATGTATTTTATTTTTTCCTGTCAAATTAAACACAGAGTGCAAACTTGTAAATCAGAAAGTTTAAACTTGAGATGTGAACAAGGCTGTCTAAAAAGTGCAAACTTGTTTGTGAAAGTGAAAAGTGAAGCCTCACTCGAGCAAGCAGACGTGACACAGCTGGGACACAGCAGACATGCATAAGCTGCATTATCTTCAATGCACAAACCATACTTGCAGCATTGTCTGTAACAACTACAGGGTGTTTGCTGGTTAGCCCCCATTTTTTTATGTCTTCACTCAACCTATTGGCTATATTTGCAGCTGTCTGGCTTGAATAATCTTGGTGGTCTGTTGCACAAGATGCGAGGCGCCACTCATTATCAATGTAGTGGAAAGTCACCTTAATGTCACATATCCAGCACATTATCTTTAGTTGTTTTAAATCCAAAATGGTTCCAGACATCAGACTTCAGTTGGGACAGCTTGCTGAGTGGTGTGTTAGTTGGGTCGGCATTTGCACACGCCTGCTCATTTGAACGTGAACGTCACGCGCGTCACTATAAAACTAATCGATCTCATACCCTACACATCAATTTTGCAAAAATATAAAGGAATCGATCCAAAATCGATTAAATCTTTTTTTTTTACCCAGCCCTAGTTATGTTTATGTGTTTTTTAGGGATGCACGATATAATCGGCCCCCTATCGGTATCGGCCTGTATCGGCCTTAAAACTGAATATCGGACATCGGCCACCCCACCGATATTTAACCCGATATTTGATCAGCTTCTGAGTTTCTAAAGTTTAAAAAAAAAAAAAAAAA